ATGAATATAGAACTACTGGGAAATATAATAATAATAATAATAATAATAATAATAATAATAATAATAATAATAATAATAATAATTGATAAATTTTTTTTGGAGAGAAACGGGTAGAAACACTACAAGAATATGATTAAAATACAACAACAACAATATATTCCAATAGAATTTCAACGTAGATTTCAAATATTATTATTTAAAAAACCAACAATTCTTCATTGGAATTAGTTTTCATTGAAATTTGATGATTCCAACCACAATTTTTCCAACTGTTGAAATTATCGGTAGAAAAAATAATTCCAATGAAAATTGTATATTCCAACCGAATTCCCTACAACAATACGACGTTGGAATAGTTGCTGTTGGAATCATCAAATTTCAACTAGAATTCCAACCAAAAAATTTTCAATGTTTGATCTTCATTGAAATATTTGCTGAAATTCGTGTTAAAACATTTTATGAGTGGATTTTTTTTTTTTGAAGTGGTTGATGGAGAAAAGTGAAAGTGGGTGATAATAGAGTACTATTATAAATAATTAGTCTGAATCACACAAAAAATTGTGCTATATGAAATATTTCTAGCAATTAGTTTTTGGGTTAGAAAATTTCCTTAATGGGGGAGAATATGAATGTGTGTGTGTGTATGTGTGTGTGTGAGCCCATTTGGTTCTCTATCTGTGGTGTACTTAAAGGCAGAGGAACCACATTTCATAATTTTCAAGTTTTCGGTGGTCAAATTCGAATGATAACCACCGAAAACTTGAAAATAAAACTCTTTTAGTTTTGATTCCGAAAGTGGAGAATCCGAGCTGCTTGCGCCAGTTCAAGCCTATTAGTCTTTTGAATGTGGTTTACAAGCTGGTGAAGAAAGTGCTGGCCGAGTGGATGAAAAAAGTCCTTTCCTTGATTATTAATCCGGCGGATGGGATTGGGTATTGGCTTCAGCATGATCTGGCCGGTGTTTCGCATCTACGGCAGATAATAACTTAAAGTATTCCTAGGCTTTGTCCTTCTTTATTGTACCAAAAAAAAAAGTTTTCGGTGGTCAAGTTTTCCGGTGGCTTTTGGCCGGAAAATAAGGAGCTGACAGTCAGTGAATGTAATGTGTGTATTGTTAGTGAAGCAGATTTTCCAAATTTTTATAAGGCAATGATCTTATGTCGGAATTGAATTGAATTAAATGTATTAGGATAAGACTATAAGAGTTAGATTTGTGGGACCAAGGAAAAAATTTTCATATATTTTCTATTTTTTGATCGACAAAATGGCCAAATTATTTTCTATTGGTGTTGTAAATTGTGATGGTGCCTATCAGCCACGTGTGACGTGTCAAAATCTTGTGATATTTAAGCGCCACACCCACGATATGTTAATTTTTCTAGCACATAGCTCGTGGATATATTAAATCGTGTCCATCGTCAATGGAAAAATGATGTTTTAAAATCTTTGCATATTTGGTTATTTAATTTGAGTTTATTTGGAACTTAAACAGGGAATAAAGGAGTTTTGTAGGTGTGAACGTGGGTTTCATTTAATTCCTTCTACAAAAAGTGAATGAATCTTGTGAGGTCATATTGGTTGTGACAATGGATGTGGCTATTATGAGATCAAATGTAAAAGAAAGAATGACCCAAAAAGATTGACAATTAGACTTGTGATTCAACAATGTGTATTTAGGTAGGGATGTAAATGAGTTGAGTTAGGTACGGTTTGACAAACTATACCCCAACCTGCATATATTTACTCTACCCGTATTCAACTTGTTACTTGGTTATTTAGCATCGACTCTAGTTCATGTTTTGCCCGATGGGTAATTGGGTGCTCATTGGGTAAACGCTAACCCGGATCAAAAATTAAGTTTTACCTGAGTCGGCTTGCTTGTGCATAGAAAAGTAAAATTATTTCATAATTTAATTATAATATGACTAACAAATTATTAACTAAGAATGAATATAAAAAATTCTTAAAAATATCAACTGTTTTTGGAAAAAAAGGAATGAGAGTTAATAATTTATTTTCATAGTATAGCTAATAATACAATATTTTCCAAAAAAATAAAGAGGAATGCGCTATATAAAAGTTTAGTAATAAATATTTAAAATATGAGACTTTGCACAAGAATGCAATAGTATAAGTATGCTATAAAAAAAAAGTAGAATTGGTTTAAAGTTCACTATTATATTATATATGTATTAATCTTTTCTCAATTTTTAGTTTGAGGAAAAGAAGCATATTTACCCGCAGTGTTTTCCTTTTTTTTTTTT